GCTGCATAGGGGAGCAGCAGCAGTGTCTTTAAGGGCTGGACTTGTCTGTTCTTGAACGATTTTGCAGATAAATTCAGGGAATTCAGGGTGTAATTCCAACATAATTACATGTCAGGAGAAGCTGTTTCTGGAGTTAATCCAGCCTTCCCACCACATCCAAGGGTTTTATCCACCAGCTCCCTTTGTTTCCACCTTCCATTCCTGCCCTAGGCTGGAGCACTGGAATAAATGGCAGAGATGGGAATGTCTTGAACTCTGGAGTTTTTACCTTCACCCCTTTGGGGGTGCAGAAATGGGATTTGTATTTACTGGAATGGTTTGGTGTTGGTGACTCAGCAAATTCCAAGAATTCAGTGCCTGAAGGGATCACCTTGGAAGCACAGGCCAGACATAAAGGGTTTGGAATCATGGAATGGTTTGGGTTGGGAGGGACCTGAAATCCCACCCAGGGGGCAGGGACAGCTCCCACTGTCCCAGGCTGCTCCAAACCCATCCAGCCTGGCCTTGGCCACTGCCAGGGATCCAGGGACAGCCTGGGAATTCCATCCCAGCCCCTCCCCACCCTCCCAGAGAGAAACTCCTTCCCAGTATCCATCCATCCCCACTCTCTGTCACTGGGAAGCCTTTCCCACAGAGCTGCAGTGTGTGCAGGAATATTCCCAGGCGGTTTCCCAGCAGGCTGAGCCGTGTGTGTGTCCGCAGGGATTACATGGATCGGCTCCTGGATGAGAGTGAGAGCGCAGCCTCCAGCAGGGCCCCATCACCGCCACCCACGGCCTCCAACAGCAGCACCAGCCAGTCTGAGAGAGATGACTGCACCTCCAGCAGCAACCAGAACGGTGAGAGGGGCCTGGCCTGCCTCTGGCACTCGATTCCAGCCGGGATTGGGTCGGGAGAGCCCATCCCTGCCGTGCCACGGGCACCTCCCACCATCCCCGCCCGCTCCAGCCTGGCCTGGGACACTGCCGGGGGTGGAACAGCCACAGCTTCTCTGGGAATTCCATCCCAGCCCCTCCCCACCCTCACAGGCTGTTTCCTTCCCAATATCCCATTTATCCCTGGCCTTTTGCCAGTTTAATACCATTCCCTGTGTCCTGTCCCTCCATGCCTTGTCCCAAGTCCTTCTCCAGCTCTCCTGGGCCTCTTTAGGCCCTGGAAATGGCTCTGAGCTCTCCCAAAGCCTCCAGGTGAGCACCCCCAGAGACAAACAGCCTATTTCAAGTTAAAACTGGTTTTTAAAAAACCCTCCATGTTTGCATTTAGGGCCTTGTTTTGGAAGATAAATCCCTGCTGGAATTTGCTGTTGAGTGAGATTTGAGAGTTGCTGTGTGCCCTGTGCCAGTGCAGAGGTGTCACTGCAGTGTGGGGGGTCCTGAGCAGGGCACTGAGCCCCTGAGGAGGGAGCTGGGAATGGGAGAGGAGCTGGGGACTCACTCAGAGCGTGGAAATCACCTGGAAGCTGCACACAGAGCCCAGGTGCAGCTCCTGCATCCTGGGATTCCAGGACATTCTCTGTTCCTTTGAAGGATTTCCATAAACTCCCCGTGTCGTTTGGATGCACCTCCAGCACACAGCGAGGAGAAAACCGCTGGATTTTTAATGAATTGCAGTTCAAACTCCTCCCTGCTGAGCCAGCCCAGGTTGTTGTGTGGCTGCTGAGCTTTGCTGATGGCGTTTCTCTCCAACCCAGGTGTCTCTGCCAACGGCCCAGGGGAGGTGCCAGGGAAGGAGGAAGCCAAACTGGAGGGACTGCACGCCAATGGACCCTGCAGTGGGAAGAAAACCCCTCACACCGAGCTGGATACAAACGGCTACGAACCCGAAAACCTCTCCAGTGACCCCAAACTCGCTCACTCAGCTTCAAGGAATGAGCCTGAGCTGGAAGAAAAGAGTGAGAGACCTCTGAAAAGAAGAAGAATTAACAGCAATGGGAAGGAGAGTCCTGGTGCTTCAGAGTTCTTCCAGGAAACCAACTCCCACGGGAAGCTGGAGGAACTGGAAACTTTGGATGACTGAGTGCTGGGAGCTGATTTTATTCCTTGGAGTAAATTTTGGGTGTCTAAAATTTTCAGGGTTGATGGGTTACCTTCCAAAGTCCAGTTCCATAAACAATCTGAGATTTTTTTTTCATTTCCTGAGACCTTCTAGGTGGCTCTAAAGATCCAATGATTTGGTTTCTTCCAGTACTGAAAAGCAGCAGGAGAATATTGAATTTCTCAGAGCTGGCAACTGCAGTTCTGGGATAAAAAGCTCTTAAAATATTTAAGGAACAAAGCAGTGAGTTGCTGCAAAAATATTCCCAGCCTAAAACATTAAAGAACGTGTTAATACAGCATTTAATGTATAAAACAGCATTTAATCAGTGTACAAGTGAACAAAGCATTTGGGGCTTTGCAGGAAGTTAAAATAAAACAGGAAAAGCCAAGACAGAGCAGGCACAGAGACTTCCACTCCTGCTGGAGAGAGGAAAATGTCATCCCATCATTAAGGAACCCTCATGAATCCTGAAAGTTATGAGCACAACTATTTTTATATATAGAAGTTTTAAAAGGTAAATAAATAAACCAGGTCAGGTTTGTCTATGTAAAATTGTTGACATCAATGATGTCTTTCCATATTCTTTATCTGGGCTAAAGAAATACATTCTGTATTTTTCCAGATTTCTTTGTAGCCTTTGAAAGATTTTTACAGTACTTATGTCTTGATTGAACTGTCCTTTCTTAAAACAAAAGCTTGTATAATTTTCTTACCTTGTACAGTTGGTAAACTTTTATGAGAGAGTTGATACTCTGAGTCTAATGTCAGCTTCCTTTTATTTTGCTGAAGTCTTTTCTAAAAAACAAAACAGCAAAAAAAAAAAACCAAAAAAAAACCAAAACCCAAACCAAACCAATGGAGTTAAAAATTAATCACCAACATGTTAATTTCCTTCCCAGAAACTGGTAAATAATTAACATAAGAATGGTTAGGAGGCGTTTGATTTTGGAAACGTGGGGTTGTTTTTTTTTTTCTTGTTTTATGGCAAATAATGATGTTTCAGTTTTTGTTAAGCATGCTGCTTGCACCGCACACATTTCCTTGCTTTCTTTTTCCCTCCATTTGGAACTCAGAGAAATTTCACAGCAGCCAAATTCTGGAGTTTACTGAACCTTCTTGAGGTTGAGCTGCTCCAGCACTCCCTGGGTTATCTGCAGGCTGTGCCCTGCCGCGTTCCAGGGAGCACAGCAAGGGCCGGAGCGTGGCTGGAATGGTTGGGAATGCAGCTGGGAACTGGTGCTGGACTGGAATTCCCCAGGACCACAGGGAAGGCTTCAGTGGGAGCAGGGCACAGATTGGATCTGATGATCTCAAAGGTCTTTTCCAACCTAGAAAATCCTGGGATTCTCTGTTGGCACAGGGACGCGCTCACCTGGAGAAGGGGGAGCGGGAATTTCACACTGAGCTGTGGAGAAGGAATCTCAGTGCGAAAAGCAAAAATTCCTCATAAAGAAATGAGAAGTGTGTGATGCTCACCCTGCCACTGAAAAGCTGTGGGTGTAGCATTTCCATCCAGCAACCAGGAACATTTGAAATCCAAAATCACTTTGGTTTTGTTTGGTTGCTTTTTTTCAGCCCAGCTGCACTTCTGCTCTGTTCAAATCTGGGGTAATTGTTCATTTGTATCGTTGATAAGGCTGTGTCCTCCTCACAGGTGTGCTGTTCACCCTTAACTGGTTATTTTCTCTTCAGGTTTATGCTTTTTCTGGTTCCAGTTGAAATCAAAGGTTTGAAATGGATGTTCCAACCCAAACCCCAGCGCTGGGGGCTTGGGCTCATTCGGTTTCTTCTCCACTGAACTTTCCTTGGACTTTGTGATCAGGAATGAAGCAAACCTCGGGATGAGGATGGGTTATGGATGCAGGAACCTGCTGTTCCCAGAACTGTGGGGAACAATCAGCTCTGTCTGCCAGCCCTGCTCCTGGAGAGGCTCTGGGTGAGGTTCGTTAATTAAGGCCTGTGTTAATTAAGGCATGCAGTGATTAATGCCTTGAGGCAGAGGTTGCTGTTAACTCTCCCCTCTGGTTATGAGCACAACCTCCAAGTTTCCCCTTAGCTCAAAGACGGTTCCACACAAGCAGAATCCTGTTTTCTGTTTTATTTTGATGCTCTTTGTTTGGAATCACTTCCCAAAAATCTGTAGGAAAGTTTCCAAATGAATTGTCTCAGGCTCGTGTGTGAAATCCAGCACTGTGTATATCTTCAGAAACGTTGCTTTGTTTTTTATCTTTCCTTATTTTTATTTTTATTTTGGTGATGCTTAGAAGAGACCTGACATTCCATAATCCACTATGTAATGCTCAGCTAGACTTTAAGAATATTTAATTCTAATTTACCTTTTGTTTATGCTGGTGTTTTATACAATACTTTGTTCATGTTTCAAACTGCAGCCACTATAACTCGATCATTGCACTACTAAAGCTATTGAAAATCCTGGAAATCTGCTAACTTTGCTTTCATTTTCCAAGCTTTCAGTACAGTTGGGAATCCAGTCCAGCAGGAAATCCTTGGGCTTCCCAAAGGGTTCAGTGTGCTATTTAATCCCCCCCCCCACACAAACCTTTACAGATCAGTTTGATACGTTTTTTCCACACAGTATTTTGCACTGTCATTAATTCCCTCCTCTTATTCCCCTTCCCCATCTGCAACTCTGGAAAAGCTTATTAAAATATTTTTAAACTTACTGTCTGCATCCAAAATTCCTGCCTTTTTTTTTCTCCAGAGGGGTGGAATGTTTCTCCTCAGAGGATGGCAGGGCAGCAACCCTGCAGTGAAACCCATGGAAACAAAACCCCATCTTCTGGATCAACTTCCAACCGTTCTCCACATCCCTCCTCAAGGAATATTCCCTCCCACCTCCCCCTGCTGGGCGATAAATCCCGGATTTATCCATCCCCCAGCATTCCCATCCTCTCCAGCCAGGGAAGGAAGAGAGGGATGAGGCAGGAGCAGCTTTGGTTCATTGGTTTATTGGAAGCAAATACAAAAATACAGAGGCACATAAATCCTTTCTGCTCTCATTTCTCACATCCACAGCCTGCCATACATTCACATTTTCATCACTAAAATGCTCATTTTGTAAATAGATTCTCTATAGAAAACATTTTTTTTAGTCAATTCATAGCATAGAAAATACTGTTAGAGGAATTCTTGGCTTTCCCAGTGTTTAGGATCCAGGACAAAATAAGCTTTAAAAATCCTTCCCTGTTGGGACTGCAAATCTAACCAGCAGATTCAAAACTAAAGAGAAAATGATACAAAAACCCCTCTGGCAGAATCAACCTCCTGGCATGGCGGGGTCGGAGCACACGTGGGGGAAAAAAGGGATTTGGGAATGCTGGAGCAAGAGGCAGGAGCAGGTGGGAGGGGCCCCAGCAGCACCTGGATACTGGGAACCAGTGCAGGGACTGGTTTGTCACCCTCCCTCCCCTGGCACAAAGCCGAGGTTTTACTGGAATTTTGGGAGACAAAATCATCAAGGATTTTTTCTTACTGTGCTCTGAGGGGGAACACTCTGAGGGGCTGCTCCAGGACACCTCACCTGCCCCTCATCACTGCAGTGACCACAAAATCCCACAAAAAAAGGGGGAATTGTGGCTCTGGAGTTGCTCCAGGAGCGGGATGCTGCAGCAGGCAGCAGCTCCACACCTTGCCCAGCAGCCAGGCTGCAGCTGCACCCTCACAGAAAATCTCTTCCCCATCCACAAACTTCCAATAAATCCCATCAAATGCAGCTTTGTCCAAGAGCAGTTCCAGCTGAAGCAAGTAGTTCCTAAAAAACCCCGCTGCCAGTGTCTAGAGAAGTTGGTAGGGTACCAAAAAATCCCTAAATACATTATTTTACTAAAAGTTTTTTAACCAAGCTTAAAAACAATTCTTTTTAACCCAAAAGACAAGCCCTGGAAAGGAGTGCTGGGTAAAACAAGCTTTAAAAATCACTGAACACTGCCCAATGTACGACAATTCCCATTCCTTTAGTGGGTCTTTCAGGGCGATTAATTCCATGGAAAACAAGAATTATGGGGCTCCCTGTACTTGCCAAAAAAGAAGATTTAAGTCCTTGTGCCTCTTCCAGGGGTGGGAGCTGGAGTTATTGCAGATTCCCTGGATGTGCTGTTCCAGGTGGGACAAGCTCAGCTCTCCTGTGATCCCAGCAGCTTTCTCAAAGCCAAGCTTGGTGTCAGGGGAGGCTGCAGAGCTCAGCAGCAGCTGGAAAACCCTTCCTGCTGGGAATGTCTCCAAGCCTCGGAAAGACAGAGGTGAATGCAAGGCTCTGATAAACCCAGCAGGGCTCGAAAGTGGGTTAATGGCCCAAACAAACTGAAAATAAACAGAAAACAGCTAAAAAATTAAGTCCAGAGAGCGCCGAACATTCATCCAGGAGGTTTTGGAGCAGCTTCCAGGGAACGCTGGCCAAGGCCCTCGGCATTCCCGTCCTTCCAGAGGGAGCAGCTGGGCACGGAGCCAGCCCCAGCCTCCCAGCCAAGCTGGGATCAGCAGATCCACGGATCCCATGGAGCAAATCCAGCCAGGGCCACCCCCGGCACATCCCTGCCAGCACAACTTCCAGCCCCGCCCGTGCCCACCTCGGCTGCCGACTCCCAGCTCGATTAGAAACCCGTTAATTGCTCCCGATCAGACTCAATTAGGCTCACCCTTCCCCGTGCAGGCCGGGTGGATCTTCCCAAGGATTTGTGAAGGCAGCAATCTCGGCTGTGCAAATTAATCCCCGTGGCAGGCGCCGCGGATCCCTCCCCACCTTCTGCCCGCGATCAAGCGAACGGATTTGGGTGGATTCCCAAAAACAAAGAGCCGCTCCCTGCTCACACGGAGCTCTTCCCTTTAATATCCATCTTGCTGCCAGCATCCGACTCCTTGTTCAGCTGCTCCTCGGTGAAGGTGATGTAGGAATACACCAGGCTTCCAGCAATACTGCAAGAGATTCAGGGAACACCTCGGGAACCTGGATCAGCCAGGAAAAGCCGGAGCCGCCGCACAGGGATCTGCTGGAAGCATCCACTTCCAGGAAAATTCCCAGTTTTCCTCCTAAAGCCAGGTGTTTTGCTTTAATTCCCTGCCAAATGGGTTCCCAACCTAGTGCTGGATCTGTTGCACCCCCAAAGGGATCCGGGACAGGAGAGACTTTTCCAAAAGCTGAATTGTAAGAAATACCAAGTGAAATAATCCCAAAAATTCTCCTTTTGCTGCCTTAATTCCATGACTCTGCTTGGCAACTCAGGGAAAACTCAAGTTTTCCTGTTAAAACACTCCTGTGGATTCTCCCAGCTTTAAAACAAAGTTTGGGAACGTCCCACAGACCAAGCACAAAAAACCCAATTCTGTGGGGTTTTGGTTTTCTTTTGGAGGGGGAAAGAAAATCCATTAAATCAGTCAAATCCTTTCAGTTTCAGCCCAGTTTTCATTTACAAATCAGAAGGAAACCACTGCTCTTACCTGATATTTAGACCAATGAAGTTCATCCATGTAAAAATATAATCTCCTCCAAAAAACATCCCAATATAGGTTATTAAAATATTCTGCAAAGGAACAAGATGGGAGGAACAAGCAGCCTGAGCCAAGGGAATTGTAGAGAAAAGGGAATTTAAGGGGGTGGAATGTGGGGGCTGGAATGAGGGGTTAATGCAATTCCCAAGGGATAACGAGGGATAAATTGGGTTTTTTTGGGAGCAGGGAATGCCACTCACCTTAATGCAGCCAACTATTGTAGTTGTAAGAGCAGAGTTGTACTGAGTGCAAAGAACCGTGGAATACATCAAAATAAACCTATGGAAAAGAGGGATAAAACCTTGGGAATCACCTCATCCCATCACCCTGGCCATGGAATGAGGTGAGCTGAAGGTCCCTCCCAAGCCAAAGCATTCCAGGATTCCGTGATCCATTCCCATCCTTTCCCCAGCAGTTTTATCCCACTTTTTTAGCTAAACCTGCACTGGAGGAAGGTGGGAGATAATTCCTACCCTCAACTCTCAGGAATGAGGAGTGATGATTTATTCTGATTTTTTAAATGATAAAGGCCACCACCATTCCCTCGTTCTGGAATGCTGATGCTTTCCCTGCTCCCAGCCCAGCATCCCAGTCCTTACCCCATGACACAGGAGAGAGTGAACTGCACCACGAAGAACGTGTCTGCCCAGCCCTGGTATTCCACTGCCTGCAGGGAACAGCAGCTTTAGAGCCTTGGGAAGCACAGAATTCCCAGCAATTCCAGGAACAACTCCCCAGCACCAGGAAAAACCAACCCAATTCCAAGCCTGGAATGACATCCCAAGGCTGGGGCTCCCCACTGGTGTCACCTCCAGCCTCATCCCTTCTGGAGAAGGCAGGGAATGTCTCTCAAGGCAGAGGGATCAGGAGAGGCATCTCCCAGCTGGCTGCGATCCACAGCTGCATCATTTTGGAATTCTCTCGCTGCAAAGCACAGAACACTCAGCCAGCCCATCCCAAGGGAGCCGTGACAGGCAGCCTGGATTTCAGGGAAGAGGTTTTTTTCCTGGGCTTTTGGACTTTTGGGAGCATCTGGAGTGCTGGATCCAGTGCCACAGACAGGGAGAGTCCAGAGGGGCCACCAAGATCCTGCAGGGACTGGAGCATCGCCCTGAGGAGAGCTCGGAGCAGGCTCAGGGATCCTTGGAGACCCCCAGGATCCAGAGGAGCTCCAGAGGAGCCTCAGGCACGAGGCAGGAGCAGGGCAGGGCAAGAGCTGCTTCCCTCACTCCCTTCCCAGCTGGACAGGGAATGCCAAAGCAGCCAGGGCTCCTGCCAGGCAGCTGGGAATGCTCTTCCCATAGGGACACAAAATTCCAGCCTTGGAGGGACCTTCCTGCAGCTGATCCATCCCCTCTTCCCGCAGGAATTCTGTGGGGAGTTCAGCAGCAGCAGCAGCACACAAAGCAGGATGTGTTACCTGCGATGCTGCCGAAGGAACCACAAGAATTCCCAAATCCACAGGCACAGGAAAGGCCCCCAGGCCCTTCCCCAGGGGCCTTTCCCGGAGCTGCCGGGGCGGAGTTTCCTGGCAGCAGCCCCGGCACAGAGCGAATCTTTGTGCTCAGAAAGGAGTTTATTCATGGAAAAGCAAATAAAGAACGGACATTTCTGTCCCAGGGCTTTCCTGGCCAGCTCCTGATCCTCACGGAGCGATTCCACCCCAAATCCAGCCCCGGAGCCACCCCCTCTGCCCTGCTAATCCCAGCTCCTCAGCCCGGGATTGAAGGGTGGGAGACACCTCCAGCCTCTGGGGAGGGAATTCCTGAATTCCCTGCACGTGGAGAGGATGGCCAAAAAACAGGCAGGAAAAAGGAATCTGCTGCTCAGGAGAGCCAGCTGCACATCACTGAGTGCAACAGCAACAACAGGATTGCTACAACTAACTATTATTATTATTATCATTACCATTATTATTATTATTATTATTAATAATAATAATAATAATAATAATAGATAGTATTAGTATTATTGTTAGTATTAGTATTGTTAGTATTTGGATTATTCGTATTATTATGTTAAGAAATCATTTAATTATAATTAAATATTATTTATTATAATTATTAATATTATTAATAGTAATAATAGTAACAATAAAAAATAATTTCATTTATACAGGACCACAGGTAAATTATTAATATTATAATTATAACTATTATAATTAGCATTAGTATTGTTAGTATTAGTATATTTATTTAATACTTTAATTAATAAATAATTAATTTAATTATAATGATATTATTTGTTATTAATAATTATAAATATAATTACTAGCAATAATAGCAATAATAACAATTTCATGTACACAGGACCACAGGTAAATAATCATAATCATAGTAGTAATAATGAAAGATCATTTCATGTACACAGGACCAGAGGTAAATAATAAGAACAATTATTATTACTACTATCAAATTAATAAATTAATTATAATTATATATTATTTATTATAGATAATTATTAATATTATTAGTAGTAATAAAAGTAAAAATAATAAATAATTTCACCTATACAGGACCACAGGTAAACCATCATAATCATAGTAATAATAATAAAAGATAATTTCATGTATATGGCAGGACCACAGGATAGTAATAATAATAATAATAATAATAAATATAAGTATTATTTCATGTCTCCAGGACCACAGCCCCAGTGGGGCACCACAAGCACCTCAACAAAACTGCCCCAGCGAGAGGGGAAGGACAGTTAAAAAAAGTGTGAAGAAACTCATTGATTGCAAAATTTCTCAACCTCTTTAATTAACATTTGGGTTTTCTCCTTGCTCTCCACTTCCCCATCCTCAGGCATCACAAAACACCAGAGGGAGCAGCTCTGTGGGTTCCAGCCCAACAGAAAAGCTGAGGCTCCTCTCTGCTGAGGTGGTTCTGGGGCAGCAGCCCTTCCCCCAGCCCTTCCCGTAGAACTGTGGCACAAAATCCGTGGATTTGGGCTCTCCTACCTTGTGTGCATCTCCAGTGATGTAGGCAATGCTCAGGGTGGGGAGGATCATGAAGAGTGCATTGTAATAGAGCAGTCCATACTTCCCCAGCTCCTGGAAATGGGAAATGCCCCAGGGCTTGAGTGGAAACACAAATCCCCGCTCCCACTGCTGCTGGGACCGAGCCTGGAGCGGGGGAATTCTGAAATATCATGGAATTCCAGACTGGTTTGGGTTGGGAGGGACCTTAAAGCTCATCCAGAGCCACTTTCCACTGTCCCAGGCTGCTCCAGCCGGGCCTTGGGCACTGCCAGCTCCTCTGGGAATTCCATCCCAGCAAGGAATTCCTTCCCCATATCCCATCCATCCATTCTGGCACTGGAAGCCATTCCCTGGGTCCCATCCCTCCATTCCTTGTCCCAGTCCCTCCCCAGCTCTGGGCAGATTTTGGGAATGGAATGGGTGAACCTCCCCCATTGGCCCTCACAGAAACCAAGCCCCAAATCCCAACATCCCAAAGCTCATCCCACCTTTGAATCCAGCTTCTGTTTCACGTAGGCACCGTTTGCAGCTGTTAAGGCATCGTTAACGAGGATAAAAATATATCCCTCCAGGTCGAATGCCAAGTCAGCACTGGGAAAGGGAAAAAAACAGGAGTTAAAGCAGGGAAAAGGCTTGGAAGATTCCTTCCAGCTTCTGTGGAGCAGCAAGTCGTCAGGAAAAGTTAATGGTGGGAGGAGGGGTTGGGATTTGGGTCAGGAAAACATTCTTTCCTACTAGAGAGCACGTCTGAGGGGGGGAAAAAAATCTGTGTTTAATCCCTCCACTCCTGGGACACAGCAGGGAACTGGATTCCCATTGGAATGGACCCTCTGGAGATGTGGGAATGAGGACAGCTCACCTGGCAGCTACAAATGCACCAAAGATCATAGCAAATACTGTCATCTGAATGCTCCAGGAAAACTTCTTCCTGGAAAACAGGTGGGAGGACACGGCATCAGCCACTGCTCAGTCCCTGGGAACACTCTGAGGGCTTTGGAGCAGAGCAGGGAGATTTTCCTCCTGAGGAAAGGGGGAAAAAAACCCCAAACTGCCCCCAAACCAACCATCCCGTGCAGGAGCCGTGAGTAAAGACATTTTTAGACAATTATCTCTGCGATTTTTCAAAAGATAAAGAACTCAGCCTGGGGGAGCTGGGAGTTGATGGAGAGCTGCAGGGGCAGGGAAGGACTCAGCCTCCCAGCCCGTGGAGCCAGCCCTGGGAAGGGGCTCTGGGCACTCCTGGAGTGCTTTGGGCTCCCTACAGGAATTGGCACAGAACCCTGAGCCTCCTGGAGTGCTGCAAGTGGAGACAGAGCAGCACATCCCTCTGCCCCAGCTCCCTCTGCGCCACATCCCTCTGTCCCATCTCCCTCTGCCCCATCTCCCTCTGCCCCAGCTCCTCTGGAAACCCGGGCAGGGATCAAGGCCAGCAGCTCCTGTCCCGCTCCCTGCTCCCATCCCAGCCCAAACCCCGAGTTCCAAAGCTGGACCCTGCCAGCTGCAGGGGCTGGGAGCACTCACTTGAGCAGGAATCCCTCGGCAAACATGGTAAACAGGATGGAAAACCTGCGCAGGACCGTGAACATGGGCAGGCTGTGGGAGGAAGGGCCAGGGGGTCAGAGGGGTTCCCCATTCCCCACATCCCAAATGGAGCAGGGACACGGGCTCTGCCCTGCCCCAACTCCTCACGGATACGGGATCGCTAATCATGGGAAGGGCACCGCTCCCACACCCACTGAGACCTGACCCTGCCAGGATAGGGGACCCCAGGGACACCCCCAGACCCTCCAGCCACGGAGCAGGGCCAGCCCCGTGGATTTGGGAACACGCACGTGGCACCTCCCGGCGTGGGATGGGGAGGAAGGGAAGTGCCCGGCTCGGATCTCACACAGCCCCGGGGCCCCGCAGGGCTCCCTGGCAATCCTGGAAAGCCCCAAGGAGCGTTCAAACCCTCCCCCCCGAGCAGGAAAACCCATCCCTACTTCAGTTTCTTTGTGCTGAACAGTCCTGTGATCTGGTTCCCGAAATACAGGAGAGGTAGAGGAAATGTCTGGAAAGAAGAGGGATAAGGCGGTGTGAGCGACCCTGAGCAGCCTCCGCGGATTAACGGAGCCATGGAACGATTCCCAGCCCGCCATGGAAACCCTCACACACACACAGACACACACACGTGTCCCGGAGCTGCTCCGAGCCTGCAGGATCCCGGGAACCACGGGCATCCCAAAGAGCCCCCGGGGGGCAGGGACCCCGGGGCCGGGGCAAGGAGCCCGGGGAGGGGAGCTGGGTGTCCGGGGAGGGATTTGGGTGCTGGGGAAGAGGATTTGGGTGCCCGAGGAGGGGATGTGGGTTCTGGGGAGGGGATTTGGGTGCTCGGGAGGGGATTTGGGTTCTGGGGAAGGGGATCTGGGTGCCCGAGGAGGGGAGCCGCGTGTCGGGAGAAGGAAGCTGGGTGCTGGGTGCAGGGCAGGGGTCTCACCTTATCGGGGATGTGTCTGTCCAGGTCAGGGAAATTGACCACCCGCAGCGCCTTCCCCGCCCAGAGCACGGCCACCGTGGCCACCATCTGCAAGAGAGCAGGGGTCACCCCACAGCCCCCCAAAAAGCGGGCTGGGGGACACAGGGGGGTCCCACTCACCTGGCCCAGCCCCACGCACAGCGAGGACGGGAACCTGCGGGAGGAGAGCGCAAATCAGGGGGGTCCCCACAAACCCCTCTGGGGTGGTCCCGGAGGCCCCACGGCCATGGGGGCCCGGCCATGGGGACACCCCGGCTCGGGCAGGGCAAAGGACGGGACCCCAAAGCTGGGGGTGACACAGGGGGGTACCCGAGCCCAAGGACGGGAGGGAATGGCGGGGTCCCGATCCCCAGAACCACGGGGGGGTCCCCACTCCGATCCCGGGGGGATAGCCCGATCCCGGGGGGGTTATCCCGATCCTGAGGGGGATATCCCGATCCCGGGGGAATATCCCGATCCTGAGGGGGATATCCCGATCCTGAGGGGATTATCCCGGTCTTGAGGGGGTTATCCCGATCCTGAGGGGGTTATCCCGATCCTGAGGGGGATATCCCGATCCTGAGGGGGATATCCCGATCCTGAGGGGGTTATCCCGATCCTGAGGGGGATATCCCGATCCTGAGGGGGATATCCCGATCCTGAGGGGATTATCCCGGTCTTGAGGGGGTCATCCTGATCCTGAGGGGGATATCCCGACCCTGAGGGGGTTATCCCGGTCTTGAAGGGGTTATCCCGATCCCGGCAGGGTTATCCCGATCCCGGGGGGTTTATCCCGATCCTCAGGGGATTATCCCGATCCTGAGGGGGGGTCCCACCGGCGCAGCCGTACCCGTAGGTGGTGAGGACGCTCTTGTTGACGACGACGATGAGGAAGGAGCTGAGGCCGTAGAAGGCGGCGGCCAGCAGGCGCAGGCAGAGCGGCGGGGCCGCCATGCCCCGCTCCGCATCGCCGGGCTCGGGGGCTCCGGCCGGGGCTCCCCCCTCGGCCGCCCCCTCGGGCCCCCCCCCGGCAGCGGCCGCGGGGCGTCTGCGCGGGGCCGACATGGCTGGGGCGGGGCTGAGGTGGGGCACACCGCGCATGCGCGGGGTCTGCGCGGGGCCGACATGGCTGGGCGGGGCTGAGGCGGGACAGACTGCGCATGCGCGGGGACTGCGCGGGGGCTGCGCGGGGGCTGCGCGGGGGCTGCGCGGGGACGCGGGACAGGGGATACAGAACAGGAGACAAGGGACACGGGACAGGGACGGGACAGGGGACAAGGGACAGGGACACGGGGCACGGGATAGGGGACACGGGACAGGGGATACAGGACAGGGGACATGGGACAGGGGACAAGGGACAGGGGATACGGGACAGGGGATACGGGACAGGGGACACGGGACAGGGGATACGGGACAGGGGACATGGGACAGGGGACACGGGACAGGGGATACGGGACAGGGGACACGGGACAGGGGA